CCGTGGAGTGCCTGGCTCCGCCCAGTTTCGAACTGGGGACCTTCTGCGTGTTAGGCAGACGTGATAACCACTACACCACGAAGCTTTTGGGGGAGTTGTATTATGATTGCACTAACAGCAAACTAATTTAAACGACTCCTTCATTAACATGTTTGTCGCATTCCCTACACCTGGTCCTAGGTTTAAGTCGAGCAAGGACAATATTAAATTGTAGTTTTATTCGACAGGAGTGAGTAATGGTAAATATACAAAAATTTTAATGGCAGGCTTTGCGGAGCATTACATTTTATACATCTTTAGTATGTACTTTATGCACACATGAGCTGGATTTGCTGTAGGGACTGCTGAAGTCGAATTAACGAGGGCCAGGGCGCCTAGGACCTCCAAAGCCTCCGCGTCCACGGAAAGAGGGTCTTCGGGCAAACCCACCGCCACGACCACCACGATTGAAGTTGCCTCGACCACCTAAAATGAAGAGCATACCTGAGCACTCATATTTGTGGGGATTTCAGTTATGCAACAAATAATGGAGTCTTATGGCAGATACACGGCATCTTAGAGGTACGGCGAGTCGCTCCGTCCGTGAAACGTCATTTGTGTGATTCGAGGCCCCGTGTCTTAAAGGAATTCCAGTAGGTTAAGCACTACCCAACTCTCAGTGTTTGAAAACAAAAAATAACACTGCTCCGGAGATCAACACTAAGTACGAAGGTAAAATCACGCGTCGAGTTAACCATATGGGCATCAACGTCGGATTTAGATTGTATTCCCACGATGCTATACTACCCATTTCAAGAACAAAAAAGAATGGAACACGATCTAGTGGAATCGCAGGACGTGTGTAGTTAATTCGTGGTTAACAAACCACGAATAAATAATAGGGACACCAGGAGCTTCATTTAAATATAAGGAGGGAAATGGTAACATTGTGGGAAGCCTCGAGTCAATTAACCCAAGGTAAAACAGGTTAAAATTCAGGAAAAAATCGAAGATAAATTTAGAAACAACCGGTTAGCGAGAAGGCATTTAATTGCGTTACAAGTACCCGACAAACACGTTGAAGAGCTGCCAATTATGCTGGCTGGGGTGTCAGTATAATTGGGAGCCATAACGGATAACCTGAGCCTCTGTAAGCGCACTACTTGCTCAGATCTCATTTGAAAGGACCTGGACGAAAAATAACCGATATCACTTAAAATCTTGTCCAGGATTGAGAAATGAAGTCATTAGTCGGATGACGTAAACACATTAACCATAAACAAAGCAATGCTTTCCGAAATAATCGAACGTGAAAGCACTTTAAGAATATTCAATTAGAAACCGCGAACAAAGTCTCTCATCTTTAACCTAGGCGTTTTATAAGGGTAAGAAAGGTTTTGATCAAAGAATTGCTGGATCGGCTCACTGCAGTGGCTTCACACAACCTCCGCTTCTCTAAGAAACAGTAATCAGAACAAAATAATCCTGCACGATTTTAATCAAGTTGATTTCGCTTTGCGATTCTCATTGTGAAATATCGATGTCTGTGGATAAAACATCATGAAATGGAAAACCATGGAATTATGCATGAAAATATCAGTAATACGAAGAAACAATGATCAATGTGGTAAAAATCCGGGAGGAATGTACGCAATATTATTTTCCGATGGCTTATTTAGTTACGTTTTTATGATGCCGTAGGGCACATAAAAAATATAGCAGGAACCAACGTTTAAGTGGATCTAAATGGAGACAGGGGAAATAATTACAAACTTCAATCCGCTGGGCCATAGTTTAGCTGCACCTGTTTGCATACACGACATTACCGAACCCATGACCAAACATGGGGGCTCCGCATTCACGAAATTGAGTCATTCAACTGAGATGGATCAAAGAGGTCGAAAGCCCCATAACAGTCGATGGAGGTGATATGAATGAAAGGCACACAAAATTTAAATCATTTTAGAAACCCATTGCCTCTATTCCCACCTCCACGTCCACCTCTATCGGGGCCACCACGTCTGCCTCTGTCGGTGCCACCACGACCACCTCTTCCACCACCACGACCTCCGCGCCCTGAAACACATGCAGCAAGTCGTATTACTGTAATTAAAATACAAATTAGACAATATATAAACAGAACAGTACGCTAGCAAGATATGGTCCCAAGAAACTTCAATTTAATTAACTTGATGCTAATTCTATTTTATTAAGCAAAAGATTTTAAGTAGGGATTCAACAATTCTATTTTGGCATAGGCACCATGAGACAACCAGAATACCGATAAATCTGAAATAGGGATAAGACTTAAGAGAAATGATAGGTCAGAGAGCAAGTCCGCCAAATGATTGTTAAACCGGATCTTTCGCACTAAAAGGCCAGAGTACCACACGGTGACTGAGACGGCGGTGGTCTTAACGAAGGGCTCTCTTGTATCATTCCATTTCAGAGCTACATATATCCTGGAAACTAACACTTTAATTGCCAGGATAATCAATAGCCGCACATACAGCATACAATGATTTATATGAAAGCGTGACAGAGGTGCTCACATCTAGCTTATCGAAGATTTTTATCTTTCTGAGAACCTAATGACATGACCACAAAAGACGAATTATTTAACTTTAACAAGTCAAATATCTACGATAATTTTTTATGCTTTGTTACGAGAACTACAATGTTAATGACAAGACGACCGTAATTGTATCGGAATTGCTGAAACGAAATTACGGAAGCGACCACGAATAATCTAAGAAGCCGAGTGAAAACATGTCCATAAAAACGTGACTTTTTAAATAAACGCATTAACTGCATGGTGTAGACGGGGCTTGAAAAGACAAGCCAACAAATCTTTAGAACCAAAAATACACAAACCTCTTGCTGCGGTAGGGTTGGTGAATCGCTCCAAAGGAAGCAATTTTGAAGGATCGATGAAGAGCTAGGGACTGAACTAATTAAATAAACAATACCTTCAAGCCTTTCTTAAAAGACTGGGCTTTAAGATTGTCCGAAAGTTTAACTGAAAACATCTAAGTCGAACGTTAGGAAGAACTTAAAGCTCATACGGCTCCCTTTATAGGCCCGAAAATTTCATCAATTTTTCCTATTTGCTCCTTATTCTCTAAGAATATCGGCGCATTGAAATACGGAATTTTCTCGTGAGTGAGATTGCATACAAGGTCCTCTTGACACGCGTGTGTCATTTCACCAACTTGAATTACTTCTTCCGGGGGACCCTGATCAAAATTGAACTGGCCACCACCACGACCACCTCTAAATCCTCCGCGTCCCCCACGAAAACCACCAGACGACCCGCGACCAAAGCCTCGACCACTCATATCACCAGTTGTAAAAAAGGCATGCGTTCAATCAACAAAAGCACCGATTCGGGATATTTAGTAAAACACATTATTATTTGACCTACGCTAATTTTCAAAATTTATTTTATGTAAACAAGTTTTTTATATTGATTGAAAAGCAATGTACTAACGTACCAAATTTGAGGTACAGTAAAAAGACTGGAAAACAGACTCCCTGGAACAAGCAAAAAGTCATAATTGTAATAATTGCCTTGAAACTATTTGCAAATAGCCTGTTTATCTTCTCATACTTTCTTGCAAAAAATTAAGAATGCTTTTGCAGGCCGCCTTTAAGTACTATCTGCCTTTTCGTTGGGTTATAAATTTGTCCGACGCACTAGAAAAATTCCTGGTCAATGCATGCATTTGATGCAAATAGAATTCATATAAACGCCCGTTTTACAATTCTTTTTGGTACATTTATGTACAAATATTTTCAATTCTTTTAGTGAATTTACTTTGGAATACAATCCATTTCGCTTATCTGAAATTCTCTTGGTTAATTAAATGACTTGTTTAATTATCCAGGATATTGTAAAAGGACGCGTCAATGGAAACATTGTTTTGACTTTCGCCTCTCCATATTGAAAGAAGAACATATCAGAAACATTTTTTCGCAGTCTTAACTTATCTTCAAAAACACGGGGATCGGTATCTTTATGATCCTGGCACTGGCAATAATATCACGTTATTGTAGCCATTCTAGGTTGGTGTGTGTATACATTGAAAACATCGCGTTGACATACGTCCATCAACTTTGCTGATACAAGGTCAAACACACTAACCCTTATACATTTTTATGCTTTTTTGTGAATCCTATTAACTCGCGGCCTCCAACACATGTCCCCCTCTTTCACTGCGTGCCCATCCGTCACGTGAGACAGTCGGTTCATTAATCCCTATGCATGTACCACCATCACCTGCTTGATTCATGTGACCTCACAGAGGCCTGTGTTTATTTTTTAAATGTCCACTTAACCGTATCAGTAAACACACACAACTTGGTTAAACTGTCTAGTAAACGGTTGACCTATATCTCTGAACTTATTTTCTTCCAGGGTTACTTCATGCGGTAAAAGGTCTTGATACTTCTAATAATTCGGTGCTAGTTTCACTTCATCTAGTCATTCAGTCGCTTGTACTTATACTAGTTCACCTATACTGCAGTGGACAGAAGATTAATTATTCACAGAAACATGCACACAACAACAGCCATAAAATAAACGGCTGTATCCCCGTCACATCCAGCATTCGTAGTCTAAAAGAGACTATTAATACCAATGTGAATTCTGTGCTTGTGTCTATTTATATATCCGATTTGCAAAACAACGTGAGTCGTGAATGTGCTGAAACAGAGACTTAAGTGCATGTCATAACACGCAGTGACAATCTATGGTAAACATTTTCCTGCTTGGCTGACTGCATGTTTTGATGAGGGAGCAATGTGCCGGAGAATGAAGCAACTTGATAAACGAATGTGAAACTGATGGATTAGCAAAAAGGTTCAGATGATAAGTATCAGGATTTTGAACCTGTGCATCGGTATAACCATACCATTTTGTTTTTCAGTTTTTAAGGCTGTTTGAAATAACAAGTATTAAAGTGCTTTGGTACCATACACGCTTAACCACAACGAATTTACCAACATTAGCAGGTCAGAAATTTTTTACTGCATTGTATGCAAAAAAGACTTCAATTAAACGAAATACACTTATTACTCTTAGAATATTTGAAACGTAGGCTCCTAAAGGGAACATAAAAGTCTTGCTCCTGAAATAATCTTAAAGCATGGACACACAGAAATACTATTGTCAAGAAAAAAGCATTTGCATTGATGTTGGTAAAAAAAGTGACTCAAATGGGACTATTTGCGTAAAATCATTGCTATATAACGCACCAGTGACAACTCCTAAATATAACACCCAATTTAATTTAGCGTAAGCTTTAAAGGGGTTAATATTTTTTAAGAAAATACCAAGATGCTAGCACGAATGTTGATTTTTGACGGTTATGTTTATTGTAATTTAACTGGAAGGATATAATTCTCAGAAGAGTTAAATAATTGGTAAAATTAACTAAAGTGGATTAAATGTCTTGTATTTTAACTTATAACAACTCCTTTAATTACGGGCGTTATTATTTAAATATTTATACATATCAAAAAATAGTATGCTGTATTAAAAAACAGATACAAGCAAGTTGAGATTTGAACTTCAAAGTCATAATCTGTCCATCCTGTGACAATGCTGCTACTATACCAGCTATTCTTCAGCCTTTGGTTGCCGAATAATTTTACTAACCTGTGTAGTTATTTCCCATTGCCTTGATTTTTCTCTGGTAATTTACTATTGCTACCACTTATTAGACATTAATCAAAGTAATTTTTTTTAAATATGTAAATAACATACATATAATTGAATAAAATTCAATGAACCTACGCTGCGGCATCCGATTTTACAAGAATTGCGGTTCAGTAATTAACTCATGCTACCGAAATTGTATGCACCATCCGTGGTGTGTCTCCATAAATTTTCTAGGACTACCTGCTGCTAAAATCAATCTTATTGAAATTAATTTCGTGCAGCTTCTTGTTACATCTATTTTAAAGCAGATTGAAATGCGCGATCACCCACGGTTTCTTATACGTCTACTTGGACACATTTCTTTTTGAACCTGCCGAGCTGTTAGTTACTAACATTCTTTTGTGCCATAAGCTGCTTTTAAAATGAGTGTGTTCACTCATTAATACTGTAACTACATTCATATTTATCGGTATTTTTTCGGGAGCTGACCTTTCTCAACCAGTGTGATTTCCCACTTTGTTATGTTGGTTTTATAAATTGGTATGTTATATGTAGTGTAATTATTGAAACGCAGTGAAATCCAATCGTTTTACGCAGCGTATTTTTAATGTAAAATCGTGCCATGCCTTACGATCTTGTCAAAATATTTGTGAAATATGTCTAAATCAAGTAGTTGGATGTTTACTGTCTTTGTTAGTTGGGAATTTGACACAGAACGGTTTATATGTTAATTTTTTAATGTGGTACATATTGAAAGGTGAAATTAGGGAAAGAGAGACATGTTTTGAGCCTTTATGCACCTATATTGAGAAAATCCACTTTGCCTTTCGTCACCTGCTTTGTGCCAAAGCCACCCTGTTTTAAAAGTCGGTGCATAGGTGTATTTTCTTTAATATCCTTCTAATATCCTTCTAGCTTCTAAAATCTAATTAAAGCTAGATTTTAAAATCATAGCCGTAGCTGCCATGGTTTTGAGTCTCCTGTTTATTGGATATCTTGGGTGACTGGCTGTAGCAGTTTTGTTGCAGCTATGTCACGGTGTAACTTCAGGTATCATTTAATCTAGACAAGATTATGGTGGATGTCTGCTTCTTGGTGCATACTTAGTACAATCTGGACCTGTTGTTCCTTCTGTAGACCCAACAAAATGTCCACTATTACTCTCGGATTTGTGGAATCGGCTCCTCCCTGGCAATTAGTGTCACACTTGTTTCCTGACAAGGTCGGTGGTCGCCCCGCGTGGCTTGCTCTTAACCACCTTCCCCCTGATCTAAGCTGTCCACACTGCAAAAACTCAATGGCTTTCCTGCTCCAGCTATATTCCCCTCTTGATGAGCGCGAGGACTGCTTCCACCGGATGCTGTTTGTCTTCATGTGTAAAAACGGCGTATGTTTTCAACCGCAAAATGGAGTTAAGGCAAATCCGTTTCGTGTTTTTCGTTCACAGTTGCCAAAGGAAAATCCCTACTACAGGTAATAGTTATTTTTTCTCAAAAGGCCACTTTTGCAGTACTGTTTACCAGGACAGTATTAAATATTGCTTGAGAGCAATCTCTAACATGTGTCACTTTCAACCAAATAAGTAATTGAAAATCGTAACATTGTATTAAATCTCATAGAAGCACAAAGCACACTAACGCATTCACCACGATGACGTTTACTTCATTCATTCTTTCATTCACAGAACAGGACTTAAAACACCGTCTTGTATGCTTTCTCTCACTAAAATCATCATCTTATGAAATCAGCAGTCTTCATTCAGGCTCTCGATGCAATGAAGTTTCCTATTTGCTGGTGCTTAGCACGTGCTTTTAGTTTTAGAGATAATTTTTGCCGAAAAACCGTGTTTACTTAATTTAATGGGTCGATTCCAGTCACAAGACAATAATAAAACTTATGTGACTTGGCACAAAAGGGCTCTTGCACTCATCACAGTTAAATCAAGCGCAAGGAGAAGCATGGGTTAAGTGACAAAAATATGCTAGTATTAATGACTTTCTGACGGGATCTTCGAATTTGCACCTTGTTTGATCCTGCCTCTGTTGTCTGTGCAAGCCCTTCCGTTGTCTCTGGTTTAGGCGTTTAACAAACCTTGTACTGCGGATCTCCTGAAATGTTTTGTGTGCCTTACCTTAGCTCGGACCCACCACCCGATCCCAGCCAGGCTACGGAGGAATCCACGCTGAAGCTGTTTCGATCGGGCGAAGTGCCGACGCCAGGCATCGTTGTCAACCTCTGCCCCGTGTGCGGGTGTCCAGGCTCAAAGAGTTGTGCGAACTGCAAATTGGCGCATTACTGTTCAAAGGAGCACCAGGCGAGTGTGATTACTTCATTGGTGTCAGACGTAGATTAACAATACAGGCTGTCCGATAAAAATTGCAATCTAACCCCATTAATCTCCACCAGTTCAGGCGTGCTCTGATGCGATGTTGGTTTATTCGCGTTACGTGAGTACATCACGTCTGCGCTCAATAGGGATTTATCTTATTTATAATATAAAGTTTTCAACGTGTAGTTCACGAATACACAAAAAAGACTTCCAATACAAATCATTGACTCGAGATTCTAGCAACTGCTCCTGCTATCGAGCCGTTGCTAAGATCTCTGAGAACCCGCCTAACAGCAAAAGGGACTTTGATTAGCTGCCTTAATATTTTCTCTACAGCCTAGACCGCAAACCTGAATTTAGTTATTGTAAAATGATGTTTCTAGAGATCAATTGATTTTCGTTGGACTAAATTAGTCGTATTGTGGAAAATCTTTTTGTAAAGAACACTCATTTAAGGAATCTCTAATATATGGAATTTATCCGATAATGAACCGACGGTCCTAGAATGTGCGCGTGAATAACGTAAGTCTACCTACCTTTTCAAGACGATTCACTGGAAAGAGGGCCACAAAACCGGCTGTCCCAATTACGACTACTTGGATGAACTGTTTCGGTCTAACAGCTTCCTTCTGCCCGAGTTCGCTCTCACTTCTGAAACCTTCGATAAGGGCGGTGACGATACCACCGCAACTGATGAATCGGACGACGATTTCGACGCCGAAATCATTGAAGGTCCCGACGTGTCAAAGTACGTTTCACACTGCTCGAATACCCTGCATTCTTATTGCTTGGTACTGTTGATAGAATAGCTGAATCTACCACCTAATGGTAAAATTGTAAGCAGCCGTGTTCCACATATGTTGAGCTGTAATGAACTTGGGGTTTCAGGAACCGCGAGTCGTTATCAAGAACGATTAGCATAGAATGTCTACGAATGAAAAATTTCCCTTCTTGCTCGCTTTTGTCCTGGGCTTTTTCATGTTTATTTTTGGACCCTCACTTCGTATCCTTATTGCATTACTTCGGGGTCGCGAATTGTTAAAGCCTTGGTGTTAGGCTCAAGTTCAGACCGAGGCACTTGCTTATTAAAGAGATCGCAGTCCATGTAGACACCGAATACCGAAATGCGAAGACCAAGGACGACCGAGGTTCGACTGACTTTTGCGTATATGAAGGATAAACGCGCCAATAAGAATTTATCGGTCCTTTAAATGTGTCGTAATGATCAACGTAGAAGTAAACACAGTCTTCGTTGCAACCCGTATTAAATTATTTCGGGATTTTATAGAAAGGTGCACCTGATGTGAAACTATTTTTTACCTAGTGCTGAGAAAGAAGAGTTTGTCGCTCTAGAAATGGTTTCACGTAAAGAAACCAAGGAAGAACGCACCTTTTTCCGGTTCAAGGAAATTTTAAAGAAAGAACCCGATCAGGTGGGCATTTTTGTTGTAAAAATCCAATCTCACATAAAATACCAGGAGTTGAGAATAATGGAGCTACTTAAACAAATATTTAGGTTGTGCGCTTCAACCGTGGCGGTTCGCCTCTGTGGGCCTCTCCCTGTCCCGTCGACCCACCACCTTGCTCAATATGTGGCGGGAAAAGGATATTCGAATTTCAGGTTAGGTTATGCCTTATTTTAGCCTTGTACTCACCAGTTATCAACAACCTTTTTCAGTCTGTAGGCAAAAGTACATGCTTTGTCATTTTAAACAGATCATAGCATCTGCTGAATTCTCTGACTTGCTTTGCGAACCAAGATAAACTGAACTGATCGGTGAGCCCTTGCATTCATTCGTCCACGTCAGTATGCATTTTCTTAGTTTTCGGCTACGTGCTGATCAATGCGTCCGCTATATATTGCGGTTTCTCGGTGACCATATTTCAAGTTGCTAAGCAGAAGATGAATGCGCGCGTAGCATAGGTAGGTAGAAGGTTTGTGGCCTCCTTGGCTTGTCCTTTCACTTAAGACTATGCGCAAGGTTGTAGTCTTCGGTCTTAGCACACGTGCTTTCCCTGTTTATACGCGTTTATACACATCAACCCTGTCAGCGTTATTATTACGCTGTTCTACACCTTTTATGCCACAGATTACACCGCAACTGTTGTCCTACCTGAAACTGGATAAGGTCGGCGAGGCCTCTCCTGATTTCGCAACGGTCTATATCTTCACCTGTGAGAATTCCTGCCCCTTGGCGCTTTCCGGGGCCATCGAAGGCACTTCGAGCCACGAGTACATCGAAGAATTCATCACATTCGACCCTGTGTCTTAGTACATGCTTACTTTACCCATGGCGTATGTATCTAACTTTTGCCTACCAGGGTCTCTTTGATACTGCAGCATTGGCCGACGGATTTAATGAGTCACAGGTGCATTCCCGTGTTCACCACGAATTTTTATATTTACCCGTCGTAAGCTTATTACTCTTTGTAGCTGGTTCTCCGAGTTCCGTTCAGTCGGTGAGGAACTTTGTAGTCTAGATTTACAAACATGCCTATTTTCGTCCGTCATTTTGGAATGGTGCATAAGTGATTTGAGTTAACTTCATTGTAAATATTCACCATGCAATGCAACACCGGTCTCTTTCGAAACTTGAAAAACCATTAATTAAATCAGTTAAGAAGGCGCCATTTGGCTTTTTTTCCAAGCGGGAAGTTTCGACGGCCACCTGGGCCTTAGAATCACTAAGTGACTAAAATAACCCAGTCGGGAGATAAGTTGTTGGGATAACCTATTGTGAGACCTTTACATGAGGCGTAACGCCTCCCAATAGGGGTAAATCCATGGAACCTATCTGTTGAACCTACAGCTGACCAACAGGATTGTTGACATCATTAGCCGTCATGAAGTGATGCAAAGGATTCAGCTTCTGGGATGTGGAATAACGGACAGCCGTGCTTGGACCACAGAGGAGCACATAGGTGCAGCACCCAAAATTGGACAGCAGCCCAGATGCACTAACTTCCATGTGTTGGCTAAGGCACTAAATTTGACCTCTTGTCAGTTACAATCCTAAGTTTACAGGGAAACATTACACAAACTAGGTGTACTTGTACAGTGGTTTGAATTAGATGGAACAGTTAGCATCGATTAGACACATCAACAGCGGTAAATCGGGCTGTTACATTGAATAAGAGAATTACCATAACAGAGACGGGTTCAACCCTTATAATGTCGTCATAAAGGCTGACAGGTTAAAGTCGTCCAGCAGAATACTGCACACAGATTAAACTTAACTGGCTCGCTTAATACACAAGGATTGCGACTACTATTTTTCAATCAGGGGCAGATTGGAAGCAATGCAGTACAATAATTTCCGAGCCTGAACCCACAAAACATTCAAGGGGTTTGTCTTAACTGCAACTTCCGATGTAAGGATTTACGAAATAACTATAAAAATTACCCTTACGTAATGCAAGTTGAGTGAATCATTAAGAAAAAAGAATAATATGAATTTATAACAATTAAGTCTTTAGGCACAACAAATGCAAAGGACAGGAATGAGCAACTCAAAAATTTATTCGTCATCATCTGACTCGTCTGTGTCCCCACCACGAATCTGTTTGGTTATTCTTCTACAAGTAGCCTCCTTCTTTTTGTTCTTTGTGAAGTCAGGAGGTTGGCTGAGGTCACCTGTGTAGTCAACTACGCCTGCAACACCCAAACGCCAGTCCAACATCTCAGTGCTAAAATCATCATGACCTCCAAGGTCATCAAACCCAATAACACGTCCAACTATCTTTTCGTCTTTAACAAGCACCAACGTGGGTAGGATTCTAACCCCAAGACGGCACACCAGGAAAGGCGACTTCTCAACGTCAACTTTGATAAAGCGACACTCAAGACGACGAGGAGCAAGGAGTGCGAGATGTTTGTCAAAGATGGCGCAACGTGCAGTTGTATTACGATAAAAGTGAACACACACATTTGAGGACTCCTTGCAAACTTTGAAAAAGTCTTTTTCTGAGGGCAGTTCATAGTAGATTCCATGCCCATTAGCAAGCCATTCCTCCCTTTTGTTCGCCTTTTCTCTCATTTCGGCCAAACGTGACCGTCGAATCTTCTCCAATTCATCCTCGTCCATTCGATCCAACTTCGCAATTTCCTCATCGACAGCATCTTCAATGACCTGGGCGGCCCTGCAGAGCTGTGCCTCGATCACCTTCTTTGTTTGGGCATCATTAAGACTCATTCTGACCAAACTTGCCCTAAAGCAGAAAAAATAGGTTTACTTGTCGTCAATAAGGCTATTGTGTCTTGGGAGAAGATACCATTATGTTATGGCGTAGTTTGCATCATTAAATGAACATAAAATTATGGCAGGACAATTGAGGTCAGGCAATGAAAACAAAGAGATGATCAAATATTCCCAATAGACTAACCAACAATAGGATCCGAAAATATATTCATGTCATTTAGTATATAAGTACAGCACGACAAAAGCGCGACTAAACAATGATAAGTTAAAGTCATTTAATGAATTGCGTTACATGTTATTTGCGAAAATAAAAAGAACGCGGTATTCATGTGTCTTATATTTACCTTCTTAGATTAAAAAGAGGCAAAAAATCCGTAATGCCACCCCGTGCAGACAAATGTGACTAAACATTTGAAATAAGGCCAAGACGACTGGGGAAGTTTACTAGGCACAATAAATGTTAAAACTCGAAAATGATAACGCCATTGTAACAGCAAACCGTTAGAAACAGTTTAGGCTCTAAGTTCCAAAATCATGAAACAGCGACAGGGTTAACAAAAGTTGCGTTACCAATAGAAATTAAATGTGGTAAAAGCTCACTTGAGATATTAAAACAGGGTATATTCCAATTGTCACAAATTGTGTAAATTTAGTTTTCATATTTTATTTTCTCATTGTTGATTCTAAACTTGTTTATTTTATCGATTACGCATTGTTCTTTTGGCTGTTACGTTTGTTTCCTAATACCATCTCAGAAAAAGTCACTGTGACGCTCCATTTCAACAGTGCACACCTTTCTGGATTGTTCTTTGGTTCACTGTATTTTGCGTGATCACAACTTTTGTATTTTTTTATGTTTTCTGTTTACGAAATTCCTTTGGGTCTCTATGTCTACTCCAGGTCACGATTGATACTCTCTGCTCACGCATCCAAATCTCTCTACTCACTAACTTCGCTTAAGGCCAATAATCATTGTCCAAGTAAACGCTGACGAGGAAAACCAAGTAGTTTGCTAAAGGCCAACTGACGTAAGGGTAAAGTTCCAGATATGTTCAGTTCTGTCCATCAAAGTCAGAATATTTCAAGTTAGTGCATAACCATTTTTTTATCGCATTTAGGTGATGAACATTTAGTTTCAAAGATTTCGTACAATATACAGATTATTTATAAAAACCTTGTCCTATCTGTTAATATAAAAAGTCCTAAAGGTGGGAGCCAGTATTCTTTTTATAATTCACGTCATTGTCTTCAACCTATCCCCGAAATTTGCGTCAGGATTAGAGGAATCAAAATTCGCGAAAAATTCCTTACAACCCGTAAACAAATCGCTTTCGTGAATGTGGCAGAATTTTGATCCAAACGGCTAGAGCCCTAGCTCTAATGTTTGATTGTTCCCCAAAGTAATGGAAAATTGGCTACAGACTCAGTTATCCATAAATCGTTCCCGAATTTATCTTGCAAATCAATAAAAACTAAATTATGCTTGCTTTTGAGGCTAGATATTGTAATTTGCTAAAATAGAGGCTCTTGATTATCGAAGCACTCCGAAACTCTGTAGGGTAGCGAACTTTGGAGAAGGACAATAAGCTTCAAGCTGAGGGTTGTTTTAGAGGAAAACGGATCAATACAAATTGTATTTTGAGATGGGCAGTGAATTTTTTGATCTTAGTCTATGGGTATTTGTACACAGGGTAAGCCCAGAGACCAGAATTTCCGAGCAACAGTTGGTGTGTTACAAAAACTTCTTTTGATTGACTCCCTACAGAATTTGGCTTTTGCAGACTTTAAGACCGCGTCAAACGTTCTTTGGATAAACGAAAATAACGCTTGAAGATGACAACATTGGGAACGGTAGAGCAAACAAACAAAGTGATGATATTCACTAAGACGAAAATCTACACGAAACACGATACATTAAAGGAATTCAACGTATGCGAATGGTTTTTGGTTGACCTTGCAGAACTGATTATATGACCAGTTCTTCCTTGCATTAAAGACGACTTACGACAACTACCAGGAGATGTTTCAAAACAGGCTTCTTAAAGAAAGTGATCCAAAAAAATGTCCTACATTATTTTGTAACAAAACGCAATCCCAATCAGCCGGAAACGTGCAGGTAATGCAGTTCACAGCGATGAAATACCAGAATGATAAACCAGATGTGCTGCCGGCAGCGACAATGCGATTTTGAGACAGCCCCACGCTCGTTTGACATAAAATCGGGTGATTACTGTTTTTGGAGTTATATGGTGGAACTGATCTATGTCTCGCCACTTTCTGCATGCAAAAATGCATTAAATGAAAAGGTTACAGAGGATCTGACGGCTGTCACATTAGACAAAGTGCAACGAGTGTGAAAGGAACTAGATTGTTACAAGAGGTACACACACTGGACACGTGCAATGACTGTAACTCATTTAAACTGTAAAGTCAAGTTTTTTTAATTAAATATTTGTGTGATAAACTATTCATGTGCACCTATATTTGGCCAATTATCCACTCCAGATTGGACATCAAAATGATAAATGATGAAAATTTGTGTTAGGTCGAGGTTCAAGTGTTTTATGCTTTAATAAATGGAACCTTTGTGCCCTCAGCCGGATAACTGCTTAATTCAGAATTATCTTAATGAACATCGGCATTTCTAACATGGCTTCACTAAAAGGCTTATTTCTGCTAAACGTTGTCATTTGACTTAACATAAGACACTTAGTGATATTATAAGTAATTTTGTTTATGCTTGTTTGTGAAATGAAAATAATCACTTCCTCGTGAAAACTCTTAGGCTATAAATTTTGAAATTACACAGCTGTCTCGCATGCCCCAACCTCTCAGTGCAAGAACAAGAAACGATTTCATAGAGAGGGAAATTCCGGCGTCTTGCCCAAAGGCCACGTATTCACGTCCAATGCGCTAGCTTACGTACCTACCATGGCAGACCCAGGTAAATGGTTTAAGGCGATCGGTGCACAAAAGTAAATGCCACAAGTTGAAAGCCTGACTTTCCTGACAAGCAGTCATAATTTCCACTAAAACTTTTTAATTAGTAATAGCTTTGAGACAATATTGCTGTCTAGCGGTTTTTTAAAGGTCACAATTGATACTCTCTGCTCATGTATCCAAAACTCTCTACTCCGCTTAAGGCCAAATTTGTTGGGGATTCCATTTACCTACGCTGCCTCCCTTTAAATGTGTGCGGTTTAATATAACATCTTGCATCGTATTCAGTAGTTTGAAATGAACCAAGTACCCGATATTCCTATCCATGCGTTTTGCCATTTATTGTGAATGATTTTGGTATCACTATCTATCTGATAGACAGATAGATAGATAGATAGTCAGTTTTAGCAAACCTGACCGAGAGGAAAATTGTGCAACATTTGTCGGCTGCCAGCTATTGAGATTCCTTCGACATGCTATCGAAATGGACATTGTGATGTGTCGCTAACTGGCGTGACAGTAGTACCAGTAGTAGGACACTCCACATCTTCACTTACAGGAGAGATTTGATATTCCTTAGGCTTGCTGTTTTACTCTCATCTTGACATCATCGATAGTGCTAAATACAATTGTATATTATGGGAAGCATATAGTGGTTTGCTAGTACTAACAACCCCGTAAGTTAGCAGTCCGTAGGAGCTCGAAAACGGAGGCTACAACGTACACAACCGTTTATCCGCGTCACGACATTTAAGTGTTGTTTGCGGATAAGTAAGCATGCGTAACAGACGATTGATAATGGTAGGCAATGCAAGGGGGGTGGGCCAGTGACACCCTCAGATCAGTAAACAAGCTTCAGCTAGGCGCGATCACTGCTGGTCCACAACAGATATTTGTTCCCGAGACTATTGGCTGTGAGACAGTATACGATCGGCAATTGTCGAACAGAATCAGCACAGCAGACTACGGGTCTCTGGATCGGCCAGATCGCTTCCTGGGTTGACTTGACTGGCGGAAACGGGAAGCTGTCGTTGTTAAGGCTGCCTAGAAGATAATTTATCCCTTCTCACTGAGAAGTTGGCTTCTTATTCTTGCAATTTATCAATGCGTAAAATTAATCGTGCTAGATGCTACGCCGAAGGAGATGGTTTCATCTCCTACTCCTCGTGGATCATATCTGGGATTTATGTGAGCTTCTCCAGTGGTATGTCAGAGTGATGAAATGAGATGACTGCATTTGGCCTTGATATCCCCAACCAAAACCATCTGCAAGACGTAACTTGTGCACTTAATGATTGAAAAATTGATTTGATAATTATTAAACTCCTATTTTCTAAATGACTACTCATTGGTAAATAGACTACAACTGAACCCTCATTAATCACTTTTTGTCTGTTCCCGATCACTATGTTTTTGAGGTGGTATCAGTGGTTAATACGGTTGAGTAGGCCAGCATTTACTAATTTCAGTAAATCAAAGGAATATTCTGTTATCTAAATAACATTCAATGAAAACACGGCGATCCTGCTACAACCTGCATTTCTTCCACTTCAAACGCAGAATGGACAGATCCGTCCTCTTAAAAGTATGAAGCACAAATAGCACTTTAGGGCGAGTTCACAAGCATAAAAAATGAACTATTTGAGAGAAGCAAGACGTTGATTTTGTAAATCAATGATTTTACAATTCTACTGAAGTAGGGCGTCACGTGGAACACATTTGTTAATGACATAGCTTACTTGTACTAGGTGTCCAAGGAATGTAAGCTCATAACTCAGAAAACTGTCTGGTGATCAATTCAGTATTAGTAGATTCCAATTTTCATTGCGTTTAAACTGAATTCCAATGGCGTTTGCCCCTTATTTTTATGACCGTACAATGTATCATGGGAAAGTTTCACAACTAATATTCAGTGAACACATTTCACAACTGAGGACCAAAATAAAATCCTATATAGGTTCCCCAACTTTTTAGATTTCGTAGCATCGCAAAAGTCGCGCACCATGCAGCGAACACTATTATGGTCAAAGCACTTACGGTAATAACATGAATTTCGGGAACAAATTGCGGAAGTATAATTATCAGCAGAAGGCTGAGCGTTGGACCTAATCGGTGGAGGCACAAGAAGCCTGTAGTCATTACTTGAGCAATGAAGTATCTTCATTTCGGCCCCCTTCACAATTCTGCGACGTCTTCGTACAGCCCGAAGTCATCCCGAGCTAGGGAAATTAGGATCTGGTCCCCGAGCAACCCAACCGCTACTACTGTTCACTGAACTCACAGACACATTGCATTTAAGAGCCCAACAAATGCAATACATTATTCGTAATGGCTTCCTGCTATCTCGTAGATTGGAGGTAAAATCCTAGGGCGCAAGTGCATGAAATTAAACAACCCAGTGAGGTGAGGCGAAAAGTAGTAGCGACGCCAAGTTACGCAGTATCCCATATTCCCGTCATCAACCCAACATAGTTATGCAACCAAATTGACCAGAATTAAACACCAAGACCCTCTACGTCAATACCATGGATGGGAGCATCACCCACAACTGCTAATCGCTCCAGAGGAGCCAAGTAAACACAAACCCGCTCCCTAAAACCATGGCGGTGCCGAAAAGACCGTCACGTAAACACATAAAAATGTATTTATTTACAAGGGTTTGTCATAGCCTTTAATTGTTGATACAATCAGCAAGAAAGCCAGCGACAAAGTCCCGTTGGCCTTAGCTATATTTGTTTTACTAAGAATAGGCGGGTTTGAGAATGGTTTTGGCTGTAATAGAATCAGGAAACAGTTGGTTGTAGGTGATCAGCGGTACGTAAGCAGCAGTAACTAGACGGCCTGAGAAATACCGCCCATGTAGCTTGTTGACACACTGTGTCGCGATGGCTATGCTTGGACACTTTACATAGACGTTGCCTTGAGCGCTTGTTCTGTCCACAAATATATGCAACACACCACCGAGCAGAGAACATTCACTAATGACGTCGTCCTTGATTTCTTCAAAAGTAGTGTGCGAGGCGACGTGAGGATCAAACATGTTAGAAAGCATGAAACATTGTGTACAAACGGGAGGAGCAATAGCCGAAGATGAGCTAACTTTGCCCGCTATGCCAAGCGTAGGATTTCCTTGTAGCTGAGCCAATGCTGCCTTCGGCATCTGTAGACCGGTACCCTCAGCAAGTTTAGCCATCAAGGCAAGTCGTCCAGTTGTGCCAAGATCAACGCCCGTTCGATCAGCTTCTTCGTTATCCAGCGCACTTAAATTAGCGTAATCACTTCGTTCTGTAACATAGTTAACCTATAATCAAGAATATTATGAATAAATAAGTGGTCCCTACCTTCATTGCCCGGCCAGCCAAATCAAAACCATTTAGCTGGTCTAAAGCCTTCCTAGCATCATCCCCATTGCTGTAAGTAACAAAACCATAGCCTTGAGACCGATTTGTCTGAGGATCTTTGATAAGTTTGATGTCATCCAATTTGCCAAAAGGTTCGAAGATGCCACGAAGCATATCCTCCGTTATATTGTAATGCAGTGACCCAACATACAGCTTCATCGGCCCTCTTGACGACGCCGGTCTGGCATAGGCGGCGGACATAGCTGCTCCACCGGAAGTAGCAACACGGTTCTTCTCTGCATGGCTTTGCTGAATCTGAATGGGGACTCCAAGAAGCTTTGTACCAGTCAAGCCAAGGGCTAATTGGGCAGATTCAACTTCACGGAACTCAACGTAAGCGATGCCCTTGGACCTCTTAGTTTTGCCGTCAATAATTAAACGGACATCACGAATCTTTCCAACTGACGAAAAGAAATCCTCGAGGTCACGTTGTCGAATACGGGCCGAAAGCTGCCAGACAAAAACAGTTCTCGCATCCCTTTCTTCAGGAGAGAGTTCAGGACTAAATATGGATTAATAGTAATTAGGATAGCGCCTTACCTTCTTGGACGGGGTTCACCGTTCCTGTAGAATCGCCTTGGCCCTTTTTCATCCGAATCCTCTCTTTCTCGTTCAGGAACTTCCTCTTCCCGGCTTCTGAGACGAGAACGTTCGTAACGGGGACGATCGTAGTCCCGTTCTTTTCGTTTGTCATAGTCTCGATCACGATCTCTATCCCGCCTATCTCGATCACGTCTTCTCTCTATCCTGTAGTCATCGCGATCACGCCTCCGATCAGAGCTCCTATCCCGATGTCTACGTGAGGAGTGAGAAAAAGAAGAGGGAGCAACCAACCTCCGACTACGATCCTTGGATTTTGACCGAGAGCGGTCTCGGTGACGCGAGCTGCTGTTCTTTTCCGCGGAGGAATTCTGAAGACCGACATCAGGTGGACATTGGCGCACACACAGGAAGAGAGGGTGAGAGAATCGAACAAATAATTAGAGGTCGTGACTAAATACATGCTGATAAGCAAAAAACCAACTTAGAACTACATGAGGAAATGGAATTAGCCAGACGCCCGGAACGACGTCACCGCTGATTGATACTTCCGAAAGTAATCTAATAAAACAAAAAGCGAAGTTCAGAACGATCAACCCGGAAAATGCGTTAGAAACAAAAAGGAACCATAACGCGTCAGAATTGCGCGTTATGTATCTTCCAGGGAACCTTATAATAGAATCCGCCGCACACCCACACAAAACCACGAAGACGAATGCGATGGGTTACGATTTCGCAGAATGCTCCATGGTTGGTTAATCGGCTATAATACTTTAGTTACAAAACTTGGTCGCATTTAATAGTGCCTTGATGTAGCTCTGCGTAAGCGAAAACGGTTTGTAGGTGGAGGTGGAGGACGGTTATGGGGTATGGTGGATTAAAATAAGGAAGTGTTTCTTTTCCCAACCACTAGGCCTAAAATATATTTTTTGGAGCTGGCGATGCAAAAATGGTAAAATGGTAGAACGAAAAGATCTAGGAGACAGGTTATAGTAGGTGAATAACAAAGAAGCTGATTGCAGTGAATAGTTGTCAAGCGATACACAGCGATAATATCTTATGAACAACCTGAAAACTCACATACCCCCTTCTCAAAAGGAGCTTCCAGCATCGCCTCCACATCAATATCATCCGTCATCGTCACGCGAATATCTGGACGCAAGAGGTAAAGCAATCTCGAAACTGGGGAGCGTTCAAACAACTCGGGACCTTGATCGAACAAATTAATTTGATTTTGCAGTTTGTGATTTGGGTTAACCTTATTTAAATATTACATATTTCTATATTTATGCACCAAGTTTATTAATTAATTTCCTACATTTTGCAACAAAAAACTTTCAATTTGGTGATGTCTTAGAAATTGAATTATAATTGTCCCATTTCCTGTGGTCTGTGAATTAGCTATTGTTAAGCTGTGGCATTAAACCTTTTCGTTATAAAAAAGCGAGTAAGTTACTAATTTCTTGATTAGTGACATAACTTCCCTTGGAAATTTAATGGTATGTTTGAAGTGTTCATTTTGATGGGATGGTAAAAGTAAACTTGGTGGAGGAATATTTTTAGGTGCTGATTTTATGCGTGTACCTTTTGTCTTCCTTAATATTAGATGCACCAAGTAATTTTTAATATCTTTATACGATACCTCATAAATATAAAATTCTATTAAACTGGTGCTGGGGTCGTGCCTCGAACTTCTACATATTTAAATAGGCAACGCCAAATTTTGCACTGAATTTACACATGTATAGGAGTGCATGAATTTTTTAAAGACACTTTAAGGTCGCACAATGTTTTGATACTCAGATATTTCATTATCCGGTCATTTTGACAGAGTATATAATTTAACAGACCCCCTATATGAACCACTTTACTTAAATAATTTACCCAATCAGCATGCAGTTTTACGATAGTTAATGCTTTAGCCTTATCATATTTGACCTTTTACATAAATTGCAGATATTATATTCACATGAGCGTCATCGTAACATTACATAAGGGTTCTGAAGTTTATGGTTGCAATTTTAACTGAGCTCTGTTTGTAACTATTTGAAGTCAGAAAAAATTGTTCGGCCTCAAAGTCAGGCTATTTTATTCCTAAATTGTTAGTACTTATGAGTGTTCCTAAAGAATTTGATGTTAAAAGATAAAAAATCCAAATTTTATTGGTTAATTTATGACAAATTAAACGAAAAATGAAAAACTGAACTTAAAATGATTTCCTTATAAACACATATAAGAAGTTTGACAAGAACATTCCATGTAAAATTATGGTCATCAAAACTATGTGGGAATTTTCCATACTTGTTCACCTTATCTAGCATTTTTGCAGTACAACTTCGTCCCAAATTGCACAAAATCATCAAATCTCAAGGCTAATTTAAGTGGTCAATCAAATCACTTCGTAAATAAAAGCAAGATTCAGAAAAAAATAATCGGGAGTTAAAATCAACTATGTCTGAGAGATTTTTGTTGTTTTACCTTAATTAATCGCTTGAGTAATCTACTGTCACATCTCCATAAAATCCGTTTTCATTAATTGCAGACGCTCTTATGTGTGCCCTAGAGCTTCATACGAGACATTATTTGATGACCTGTAGTGAACTTTCATTAAACGATCCTGAGTGAGGCTTATCCACTAGTTTATCGAATGTCATCGATTGTCGATTACAGTTGGCGTTCGGTATTCACTTACGCGCTCTGCTATAAAAGACCTGGGTGGTTAAATGTAAATAAAGCGTGATATTTGTTATCATCGGTCTTGCCCTCTCCCCCCCCTGCTGTTACGGACTGTCGACTAGCAGGATTGTAAAGTACCTTCAATGAAGCCGTTACAAACTGTTAAAGCTTTTGCCGCAATCAAAGAAATTTGAAACGCAAGCAGGCCAGAGTGAATTAATATGCTGATTCTCATGTTAAAATGAGCTAAATAGTATTAATTAATCTTTTCGAAATGTCATTGAAGTGTAAAAACTTAGCTCAATAATCTTCTCAGAATAAATTATTGCATTATGCAGAGGATGTTAGTTTAATTCGAAAACAAAATATGACAACGTTTTTAACTGTTTCTTTCACTTTCTTGCGAATAGTCAAGGAGGCCAGGGGCAATAAATCCAACCAGTTAGTGCATGCAACATTCGTAAAAATGGGTGCCTTCAACTAGTGTCAAATACTTCCGACCAGTCCACTTGAGGAATGAAAATTTCCCGCAAAACGGACTATTTGCGCCCACAAAGGCGTCTAAGATGTAGAAATAAGTTCCATTAAAATTTGGCAAGGTAATAAGGAAAGAAGAAACTTTGAACACGGCACGAGACTCAAAAAACTGCCTCCAAGGGAGATCGGCGTCGAAAAAGGTAATGCGATTCACACAGACAAATCTATACGAGTCTGGGTGAAAAAATTTAATGGGATGACTTGCTGTTTTCATCGATATTGATGAGTCCGCATTGTAGACGAAATTTGACGTAACAACTATCGCCTTTCCTAAGTGTAGCTCAGGTAAAACCTTATGTTATAAAGCACACGGTCATGCAGGAACATCAGGGCGAAGTCATCCTGTTGAAATACCCCACTAAAACTTCCCAGTGTTTTTGACCCCGCCGGCAGCAGGTCAAGATATAGGCGTTCGATCAACAAATTTTGATTTTCCCTTTCTGTAGTAAAATTTTGAAGTGCTATTCCTGCCTCTTTGATGGTCGATATAGCAAAATTGCGCCCGCATGGATAAGCTAATCAAGCCATAGAAACAACTTAAACCGTGTAAATAATTCTGGCGTGTAGTGGCTTAGTTTTAGCACTACTTTTCAACCCTCTAGTTAACAGGCCGTAACAACCCAAGAGGAGTGGAACAGGCGACAGAAGACACGAACATTTAGTAGTGTCACTGCAACCAGGTGTGTCGTAGTGTGTGGATGAGTGAGGGGATGACAGTAACAGTAACTAATGAAAGGGGGATGAGTCATTGGCACCGTCAGGTCAGTAAACAGGGTTCACTCAGGCGTGATCACTGTTAATCCGCTACAGGCGCTGAGTGTATCCGCCAGGGGACTGCACTGGTGTGTTGGCAGAGGAAATCACGCCAACACACATTTTGCTGACGACTGAAAACTTGCCCAAATTCAGCAAATCTATTTTTTCTTGTAGTCGTCATCGCTCTTCTAGCTATTGCAAAATAAAAGGTCCACATTCCTTTCAACCAGAAATTGCCATAGGAATAAGGGTCAGCTGTTGACATCTAAAGGCTGTTCGTTTTGCTGATTGACGTAGAAGAAAACAAGGTAAGGTCAATAAATACCATCAATCATTAGACAACTGCAACGTCTTGTGGATTAACAGATGGGTAAACTGTACTTCATTTACTGGACGCTCCTATTTTACTAAAAATGCAATTTACAATCATTGCGCACTCCTTATTTATTGGTGAATTTGTTGTCTTAGATATTCAAAAGACCGATTTTAGCAAACATTTTCTTTAAATGACCTGAAACATGTCGTAAACGTTCTGCGAAATAAGTGGCGGTTTGCTGCAAGTTTTGCCAATTTCTGCTTTGTGCGTAAAACTGACAACTTTCATGCGAGTTTCTAGTGGTTTTTGGGTTGACTTTAATATATATTGCCTTAAGGGAATCAATGCCCGTGCGATCGTGACAAGTATACTGCTTTACTACCTTATAGTTCAACTTCTCGAGATCCATTTAGATCGTACTCGATTAGTGCGAGAGTAATACACAAAATCAAAATTAACAGCAGTCATATTAAATATACTTCAAGACGTGAAAATTTTGCCTCACACAAACAATGTGAAACCCGTCATTGTAACTAGGTAGTAAATTGGTGTCAGTTATTTAGTTTTTAAACATAAAGTGACGCATAAGATTGTCGGTGAAAATTAGCTCAATTACGCAATTGAATTTTCCCCAAGTTAAACTTATTTTTGGAAGGTGTTAATTTAGTTTCTGCCAAAGCACACGCCTCAATTAGAATGGTAGGTGATTTGGCTGCATATTCGATTGTCAAATCAGTCCTATTGACGATAACTGACACTAGAGCATGTCAAAATGTGAACTAAATTTATGGCTGCTGCCTCGTCATCAGTTAAAAATAGTGCTAGATTAGTTTATTTGGTATTATGGAAATACCGAAAATGTTTTTTTCCCCAACAATATGATTGACGAGAGGAGGTTTGATTACTTATGCAGTGAATGGAGACCTGTTATCAACAAATTCTTAGCAAATAATAGGCGCATTATATCTGATGTGTCGGTATTTATGCATGACTTTGGCGCGAAAAACTATTGTTAAGTGATCACATTGACGAAGACGCCTTCTAAAGAAGTTGTTTTCCGTTATAAAGATTAAATTAAATAGCAAAATCTGGCAAAAACAAAGTGTATATTAGGCTGATGACACGCAACAAGCATTTTTTGCATTCCCACGTACTTTCGATTGAATAACCGATAACTTTGGAACATATGCCGAGAAAATACACAACATCCGACAAACAAAGTGGGTCTGTTTTCGGTAACTTAGACCAAGACAGTCCTAAATTTTTGCAGAATATTTGTGTCCAGTGAGTCGTGCATGATGATATTCTAGTAAGTTTGCAGTAATAATGTAAAGTGCTAATAATTCTTTCAGTAGTCTTGACAAGCTAAATGAGTTATGGCTCAGAGGTTGCATTAAGAGCATTATCGAAATCCGATAATGGGTAAATATGGGTGTACATTAATCCATTGTCTTGTGGATATGAAAAAATATGTGGTGAGTCGGATTTGTTATCGTCAAGCTACAGCGATAGTAAATGGTAGAAAGACCTTCACAGTGAGGACACACGACCGTCTATTTGCCCGACAGGTCTCGTGGGTCTACGTGAGAGGTAGCAGGGTGCTTGAGTGAACACCAGGGGTTAGTGGGATGCATAAACCAATGAAAAGACAGTGGAGGCGGGGCCACCAAGGTTTTAGTCAGCGTCAGATACATTTCGTCAGACAGGCTTTCATTGATGGGCCGGCAGATGAGGATGTTTTGTCGATTCTCCTAACACAACTGTGATTTGTCACTTAAGGAGAAAGGCTACTGCATGGTAAAAGACTTCCTTAAGTTAGACTGAATCGAAAGGAAAGTAAGCGGCATTTCAATGTACTTTTTAAACAACAAAGAAGTCAGAAAAAGGTGAAAGCTTTCGTTTGTTATGAGGCTGCGTTTATTTTTG